CATTCTGTTAGCATGTTGAATTACATTGATTGTATTTTGAATGTTAAATCTTGCATTCCTTGGATAAAACCTACTAAGTCACAGTATAGTATCCCTTTAATATATTGTTGGATTCAGTTTGCTAATATTTTGTTTAGGAGTTTTATATGTATATTCATGAGGAATTTGGATTTATAATTTTCTTTCTTTGTAATGTCTGTCAGGTTTTGGTATTAGGGTTATACTGGCCTCATAAAACAATTTCGGCAGTTTTCTTTCCTCTGTTTTCTGAAGAAGTTTCTGTAGATTGGCATATATTTTCCTTCAGTGTTTCAGAAAATTCATCAGTGAAACCATCTGGGCCTGCAGTTTTCTGCATGGGGAGGCTTTTGATACTTAGTTTATTTCATATAAGACTATTCAGATTTTCTCTTTCTATGCCAGTTTTGGTAAATTATCTTCTTAAAGGAATTTGTCCCTCTCATCTAAGTTGTTGAATTCATTGGTATAAAGTGGTTCGTAATCTCTTATCTTTTGATATTCATAGAATCTTTAGTAACGACTCCTCATTCATTCTTGATATTGATGGTTTGTGTTCTGTCTTTTATCAGTTTAGCTAAGGGTTTGTCAGTTGGGTTAGTCCTTTCAAAGAATCAGATTTTGTTGTTTAAAATTTTTTTCTATTGTCTGTTTTCTGTTTTGTTTATTTCTACTTTTATCTTTATTATTCCTTCTACTTGCTCATTTTTCTACTTACTAATATTTCTAGGTTCTTAAGGGTGCAACTTAGATCACTGATTTGAGAGCTTTCTGCTTTAGTAATAAAAGAATTGAAAGCTGTAGGTTTACCTCTAAGCACTGCTTTAACTGCATCTCACAAATTTTGGTAAGTTGCATTTCATTATCATTTAGTTCAAAATATTTAAAAAATTCTCCTGTGTCTTTTCTGACCCAGGAATTATTTATAAATGTGTTAATTTCCAAATATTTCAAATACTGGGTTTTCTTAGATATCTTGTTGATTTGTAATAAAATTTTTTTTCATCTCAGTCTGGCATGTTTATTGAAACTTGTTTTGTGGCTCAGCATGTGCTATATCTTGGTGAATGTCTATGTGCACTTGAAAAGAATATGTCTTCTACAGTTGTTTGCTGTAGTGTTCTCTGATATCATTTAGATCAAGGCATTGGCTAATGTATTCCAATGTTCTTTTTCTTTACTGATTTTTAATTGTCAGTTTTGCTTCATGTATTTTGAAGCTCTGTTATCAGTCACATTCATGTTTATAATTATGTCTTCGTCAGTTATTTCTTTGTCAAGAGTTTTTTCTTTATGAAGGTTTCTTTATCAAAAATTTAAAAAAATCTCTGGTATACTCTTTTTTAATTTAATATTAATATAGCCATTTTACCATTGTACATACTATTCGCATGGTATATATTTTTCCATGTCTTACTTTCAACCTCTCTGTGTCTATATCTTGCAGTTGTGACTTTTGTAGGCCACATTTAGCTGAGCCTTGCTTTTTTAGCATCTCTGATAATCTCTGCCTTTTTATTGGAGTGTTTAGATCATTAACATTAATGTAATTATAGATATCATGAGATTTAGGTCTACATTTGTTTTCTGTTTGACTCTATGTTTTTAATTCCTTTCTTCCCCCCTTTCCTGCCTTCTTTTAGATTATTTGGATATTGTAGTATTCTATTTTACTTTATCTATTGGCTTTTTAGCTATACCTCTGTATGTAGTTATATATTGGAATTTCAGTATACATTTCTAATTTTTTATAGTCTACTCAGAGTTAATATTATACCAGTTCATGTAAATTGTAGACTTCTCCCAACCATATATGGATCCACTTTGCCCCTTTCCTCACCATTCCCCATAGTTGTAATATATATTACATCTGTGTACATTGAAAAGCTTGCAAAACAGTGCTATAAATTTTGCCTTAAATAAGCATATGTAATTTTTAACACCTAAGAGGAAAACAGTAGTCTGTTACTTTCATCTAGATGTTTTACCATTTCTAGTGCTTTAATTAATTCCTCAAGGTCCACGTTTTCCCCCTGCTGTAATCTCCCTTCAGCCTAAAGAACTTTCTTATATTGCAGATCTTCTGGCAACAAATTCTCTTACTTTTTCTTTCTCTGAAAATGTCTTTATTTTGCCTTCATTCATAGAGAATATTTTCATTAGATATACAGTCTAGATTGAAAATTTTTTTAAGTACTTTAAAAATATTCACTGCCTAATGACCTCCGTCAGTTTTTTGAGAAATCCAGTCATTTTCAATCCATGTTTTTCTGTATGTGATATGTCGTTTTTCTCTGGCTGCTTCTTATCTTTATTTTTGAACAGTTCAATTTGATCCTTCAAGCCTCCACTTTATTCTAATCTGCATATGCATAGTTCAGGGGCCAGCCTGAGACTCTTGTAGTGTTTCTTACACAGTATTAAGGCATCCTTTTCGACTTTCTTCCCTGTGGAATTCCCTTCTCTCTCTGGTAGCTGGCTGTGTTTACCTGGGCTCTTTTCCCTGGTTCCTCCTGACAGAAAGACACCTTAAGCTACTTACAGTCCACCTCTACTGCCTGACCTTGGAGCAAAGCTGCAACAAAACAGAAAATTCACCAATGTGCTGGTCTCCCCACGTTTTGACTTCTCTCCACAATCTGCCTGTTTCATTTACTCTTCAGAATCCATAGCTGGTTGTTATCCTGTGTCCCGTCCTGTCCCCTTGGTGTCGCCACCCCCCCCCCCCCAACTTGTAGTTGTTATCAGCAGAAGGTTAGTATGTAGGGATATCACACTACCATGCTGGAAATGGAACTTAAAGAGGTAGGATTTTGACACAGGTTAAGAGGAAACTCCAGAAAGGACCTTTCACAAGCTGACTGGTGCTGCCCAGGTTAGATTCATTGATACTTTCTTTGTCCAGAATTTGGCTTTTGGTTGCAATAATAACAGTTATCCAAATACATTTTGGGATACATTGATACACTGGCTTTACTAATCAGACTACTTCTTGTCTGTTAATAACAGAATCAGTGTACTTACGAATGAAAATATGTACCATACTAGTGAGCATATTAAAGTATGTAAAGAGAGTGTCCCTCTTTCTCTTGACTGAACCAGACTGAAGTATCCATGGAGAATGTCTAATTAAAAGATTTTTTTGAAATTTACTATCTAATGTCTAATGGCTGAAGCTATGAATCTGGCTTTTGGGGAATATATTGCCTCATACCAAAGCCGTCTTCTTTCTCATTAATCACCATTGAATATTCGCCTGTTATCAGCAGGTCCTCAGCATCAGTAGTAGATATGTTCTAGTGGTCATCATAGCAGGTAGCACTGATTGTGTGTTTCAGATTCTGTGCTAAGTACTTCACATAAATTGCTTAATTAATGCTCTTAACAAACCTCTAAAGGAAGTGGCATAAATCTCTTTTTATAGATGAGGAAAGTGCCTAAAGGTTGAGTAATTTGCATGAAATCACACAACACAGGCTTGCCTCTTCCTACCAGTGGGGAGGAGTGCGAAGTAAATAGTCAGCCAATCCTCTGGACTGAGATGACTGAGTTGAGTTGGAAGAACATGAGATTTGCAGCTTTCTAAAGAAATTTTCTGTGTTAATTTAGGTTTAGCTAAGGTGGCTGACACCAAAGCTGAAGCATAGACAAAGTTGTCTTTGTAATTCTTTCACTTGTATTTCTGAAGCCCTTTTCCATTTTCATCTCACTCTCAATGTGTACCCAGCACCCAAGTACTAGATTCTACCTTCTAGGGGTGACCCTTGTCTTTTTTTTTTCTTTTCTTTTCATTTCAATCAAGATGCCTTTTCCCTACTCTTGTAGATTATCTGATCAGAGAAATTCATGTGAGGGATTAAATGATAAATAGATTCATCTTAGAAATGTATCTCAGTGAAATTGCTCTCTTTGTCGTCTGGTATGATCTTTTAAAAATGCATGTTCAATTGGGATCATGTGTGGTACAAATATTTTTTGCCATAGAGGGAGAACATGGAACTAGCATCATAACCACAAATTGTTTATAGGTGCCCTTCTTTAACTTTCAGCACTGAAGTTGCTATCTCTCGAGGGCTCACCAAAGTAATAAAAACCGTCTCTTATGAGAGAGGAGTTGTCACAGTCTATATCCAAAATTCGAAATGTAGAAAACCTTCTATGTTGATTTTTCCACCCCTGTTAGCTCTATAAACAGTGCGTATGAAGTTGTGTTATTCAGGATATTGTTCAGTTGTAGTAACAGAAAAAGGAAGAAAAATAAAACAAGTGAGAGCCTTAAACCGGAGAGATTTGTTTCTCTCTCAGGTCAAAGTCCAAGCTGATAGGTGGATTAGGTGGATAACCAGCTCTGTTTCACAAGGTCATTCAGGGGTTCATGTTCCTTCTAATCTTCTCTTTCCAGTGTTCCCCAGGGTGTTATCCTCAGCTTTATAGTTAAGATGGCTACCACCATATCTCTGTCCCCCAGCCTGCAATAAGAGGGAAAGAGAGAATGGAGGGCAAGCAAGTTCCTTTCAAAGACGTGACCCAGAAGTTGTACATATCACTCTTGCTCATATCCCATTTGCCACACCTTAGTCACATGGCTACAACAAGCTGCAAATGAGGCTGGAAAAGGTAGTCTTTAGCTGGGCAGCGAGGAGTCGAGAACTATAGAGTTCTATTACTAAAAGAGAGAGGAGGGGAGAATGGATATTAGGGGACCATTAGCAGTCTCCACTACAGACATTTATAATGTTTGCTAACCTGTCCCACAGTCAATTAAAAGAGTTGGTAAGGAGTAGCCATACCAATGGACTTTGTGATGTCATGTCAGTAGAATATTAAAATAACAGTAGAAGAGATTTCAGTAATGATTTAAGTTCATTTTCAGAAACAAAGCACAAAACTAGATATTGGAGAATTTGATGAAATACCTTAAATTATGTTAAAGTTGCTGGATATATGAGCTAATAATTATGTATTTTGTTCTTGTATTTTAGGCCTCAACTCCATATAGCATAGATTCAGATTCTTTGGGAATGGAGTGTATTATTTCGGGAAGTGCCTCTCCAACTCTGGCAATCAACACTGTGACTAACAAAGTAATTCCATTTTTCTAAACACTTTTGAAATGTCTTTGAGTAATACATTTGATTTGCCTTTGTAATATCAATAGAGTTCTATATGGTTCAGTTTAAAGATGATACAGATTTGGCCAACCCATACATGGCAGCTTGAAAGCTGAATCCACAATGTTTTGAGGAATACACAAATTAGAAGAAAGTATTTCTCTGGAGAAATTGGAAGATGCTTATTGTGAAGCTCTATGTTCATTTAAATTCTTGACACTGCCAGTTCCCATTGGTGGAATTTTTGAGTCAGCATTTTATTGAATCAGTTTGTTTCAAAATCGTCAATTGCCCCTCTGAATATGTGATTGAAAAAGAGATTGTCAAATTCCCAGGGAGTCAAGAGAATCCAGTAAAATAAATAATTCGGACAAACTCATAGAGTTCATTGGAATGGTAGTCAACCTGTTTCATTATATTCAAGTGTAGGTACATTAAAAAAAATTCTGCTGCATTTTTTTTTTTTAAGCAAGGGTCAAAACTTTTTGCCAACTCATTAATACTTAGTGGGGTACAATTGTCTTGTCTTTATAAGGTACTTAGTCTCATCTCTCAGAACTCTAAAACGGCTCTGGGAAGTTCATGTAGTAACTCAGTTCAGTGCTTCTCTTTCCTCCCTTAATGAACCACGAGCACCTTGAAGCCATACATTTCTCACATTCATGTTCATACTCTCTTTCAGTCTTGCTTTCACCCTCTCCTTTTGTCTCCCATGCTTTCACTTGCGCTTGCTTTTTCTCTGTCTCTCGCTCTTCCACTTTGTCTTGCACACACATAAACACAAACACAAATGCTAATATAGTATACATAAGATTTTTTTATTTGTAGAAAGGTAATGAATAAACAGGTAGAAGACAAATTATAATCAGAATGACCAATCAGATTTCCAATTTAGAAAGGAAACTGGAAGCTGAGGTGTAAAGTAGTGGTTTTTCCCAGATATCAATCCATGTAATGATTCCGTCAGAATCACTTAGGGGAGGGGGGTGTGTATGTGTGTTTGGTGGTGGTGGTAACTCCCAGATTCCATTGCAGGACTACCAGATCAGTTGCTTTGTCCTTGTTGGATAAGCCCAGAAACTGTACTTTTAAAGATCATCCCTAATAGTGCCCAATTAGACTTGAGTTTCTGGTGAAGAAGATGGGTTGGAATCAGAAGTATCCAATAACTGCTCTTTGCAGTGGTCCAAGCAGAAGGTACCGAGGCCTAAACATAGGCAGTTATGGCTATTAGGAAGCAATTAGGAAATAGTAATGCTGGGACTTCATGACTAAATAATATGGGGGGTCAAAGGAGCTGCAGACTTCTGCTTCCAGATACGATGAAATAGCTAATATCAGATTAACCCCCCCCCCCCCAATAAAATGGCAGCCAGGACTTCGGCGGTGAAGATCCCAGAAAAAAAGGGAAACACATTGAGATAAACCCTGCAGATTTTCTCTTTGGACATTTCTCAATTCTCAGTGCAGTGTAGAGGCTGAACAGAACATAGCAGCCTAGAGCCGTCATTGAGCTAGGGAGATAAAAACTGGAGTTTGGGGATGCCAAACAGCTGGAGCTTAAGGACTAAGCTCCTGAGGAATCTCAGAAGTGAGCTCAACTTTTTGCAAACAATATCCCCTTAAGGTGTTTGCTAACTCCTAACCTGTGTGTGCTTGTGCTCAGACACAGACAAATCAAATAGACTTTTTACTAGCCAGAATTCAGCAGTCTCACAGAGAAGCGGGCGCAAAAATTGTAGTTCATGATCTTCAAGGATGAGGGAGCCATGATACATGCCAGGCTTTCAAGTTGATACCTCAGAAGGGTTATGTTCTGTGAGTGAGAACAAACTAGAATAGAGCAGCCTCAGATTTTTATTAGGGTGGTATGGTTGTATTCTTCTACTTGCCAAAAGAAAACTAAATCCTTTCTGGAAGAAGATAGCATTATCCCAAGCTTTTGCAAGTTTTTATAAGTAAAGTCTCACCTTCAGTCAAAATTTTTAGACATTCTAGGACATAGGACAAAAATACCGAGGTGGGGGGGAAAAGGGCAGTATGAACATATCTACAAGTGATATAGATATTGATTTTAAAATAAGTCTGACTAGCATATTCAAGAAAATAGATGAATTATAGAAAATTTATTAGAGAATTGGAATCTGTGTGGGAGAACCAAGAGGAAACTGTAGAACTGAAAAATATAATAACTGAAATTAAGATTCAATAGATGGGTGTAACAGCAGATTAGACTCTTTAGGGAAGAGAATTAGTGAACTGGAAGATAGGTCAATAGAAAATATGCAGATTGAAACACAAGGAAAAAGTAGTGGAAAATTCAGGAAAATTTAAGAGATAAATAGGATATGGGGGAAAGATCTAACAGACTTGTTATTAGAGTTCCAGAGAAGAGGAAAAAAAGAATAGAGAAGAAGCAATATTTTAATTTTCTAAAACTGATGGATGGTAACACAGTACAGATTCAAGAAGTTCTGAGAACCCCAGGAAGGGTTAATGGAAAGAAAACCTTACCAGGCAAGTAAAAATGAAACTGCTAATACAAAGTAGAGGAAGATTGGCATGGATGTTAGCTTAGAGACAATCTTCCTCGAGCAAAAAGAGGAAGCTTGGTAGCAGATGTTAGCTCAGGACCAATCTTCCTCACCAAAAAAGAAAAGAAACTGCTAAAAAACAAAGATAAAGCGGAAAAATCTTAAAATCAGAGGGAAAAAACAGGCAACTTCAAAGGAGCAACAATAAGCCAGACACAAACTTCTGAATAGAAATGGTTAAAATCACACACTAGAATGGAATTGTTATAGTGCTGAAAAGAAATACCTGCCAATCCAGAATTCGAAAATTAAAACTTCTGTGGAAAATGGAGGTTAAATACGTTTTCACAGAAACAGAACCCTGAGAGAATATGTTACTAGTGCTTCATTATTAAAAAATTAAAGGTGAGGGGGCCGTCCCCGTGGCCGAGTGGTTAGGTTTACGTGCTCCGCTGCAGGCAGCCCAGTGTTTCGTCGGTTCAAATCCTGGGCGCGGACATGGCACCACTCATCGAGCCACGTTGAGGCAGCGTCCCACATGCCACAATTAGGAGGACCCACACTTAAGAATATACATGTACTGGCGGGCTTGGGGAAGAAAAACAAAAAGGAAAAAAAAATTAAAGGTGATTAATTTTTTAGCTAGAAGGGAAATTATCCTGTGCAGAAAAGATGGGAATGGATAATGACTGGCTGGTGAGTGAGGATTGGGAGAGTGCATGAGCGGGCCTTCTCGAGTGCTGGTGTAATGTTCTATATCAGCGGTTCTGTGGCCTTTGGACGCCTGGGTAACCAAGACCCTTTTAGGGATTCCACGAGGTCAAAACTCTTTCTATGATAATATTAAAACATTATTTGCCTTTTCCTTCATGCATTTTCACTGGTGCAGCAAAAGCAATATTATGTAAGCCTTAGCATAAATCAAGGCAGTACTCTAGTAGTCGTTGTATTTTTCACTGCCACACGCTTAAGTAAAACTAGTACTTAAAAAACACCAATATCCTTGGTGAAGCAGGAGAAATAGTTTTATTAAACTGTTGACCTTTGAGTACACATCTTTTTAATATTCTGTGTGATGAAATGGGAGGTATGCATAAAACCTTACACTACATACTGAAGTACAGTAGTTGCTTCAAGAAAGAGCATTTGTGTGATTGATTGAGTCCGATGTTGAACTGGCTGCTGTATTCATGGATCATTTTTTTTTTTGCTTGAAAGACAGCTGACACTGGTGGTTCTGATTTGGGCATTTGGCAGATGTTTTCTTGAAAATGAACGAAGTGAGTCTGTCACTTCAAGGAAAAGAATTGACAGTATCTCTTGTCAGTAATAAAATTTGAGCTTTTAAGCAAAAAATAGAAGTTTGGAAAACTTACATCCACCACGAGGAGTCTGGTAGCTTCATAGTCTTTAAAGACTTGTCTAATGAGATTATTGGTGTGGTTCACAAGTGATGTTTTGATGTCATATACTGAAATTGTCCGTATTTGGAAGATCTGCGTAACTTAGTGAACCAGTATTTTTCACGTGACCAATGCGTAATGTTACAAAATCATGCATGGATAAATGATCCATTCAAAGTACAAGGTAGAACAGTGGATTTTATGTAACAGAGTACAAAAAAAATTATCGATATGGTTTCAGATTCCACATTTTAGCTAATCTTTAAAAAGTGTGACATGTCATGTTTTGGTGTAGTATCAAAAAAGACTATCCACAATTATCTGAAAAGTCTATTAAAATATTCTTCCCCTTTCCAAATATATATATGTGTGATGCTGGGTTTTATTTCTATACTTCCACCTAACAACTTATTGTAACAGATGGAATGCAGAAGCAGATGTGAGAATCTAGCTGTTTCCTATTAAGCCAGGCATGGAGATTTACAAAAGTGTAAAATAATGGCATTCTTCTATTTATTGGGAGAAAATATTTTTTATGTTAACTTATAGTTGGGTTTGTAGTTTTTATTTTTAAATTAATAAATTAAAAAAATTTTGGTTTAATTTTTTATACGCCGTTTATTGATAGGTGTATCAACAGAAACAAAAGCTCCTTGACTCCTCAACGCTTAAGACTATAGAAAGGTTATAAGATCAAAGTTTAAAAACTGCTTGTCTATACTTTGATCTGGGTGGTGATTACATGAGTATACCCATTTTGTAGTAAATAAACTAGTAATCTCTGCACTTTACTTTCTATATATGTTCATTTTAATAAAAATGTTTATCTTTCTTCTGAATAAAATAAGCTATGACGGTTCGTCCAAGATGATGGAGAGTATTTCTGGTTTGAGTGATAGGTAACTGAGCATGGACAGGAGAGAAGGAGCGTCCAAGAAAATGACCATAGAATGCTTGTAATTTGTCGATATTCTATTGTTTTATAGCTTTTGTTTATTCCTAGGAGCCCTGAGGTGGTGGTGGTTTTTTAAATGAAATTTACACTGGAAATATTTACCAGAAAAATCTTTGCCAGGGTTTTCTTTATTCCATCACATTTTTTCTTACTCTCTTTTCCCTTATTAGTTCCTAGACACATAATTTTTTCTAGCTGATATGAATGTGGGACAGTTTGGTTTTGCGTTAAGAATAGTGGCTTTTATGTCTAGTTTTCTACTGTTTAGCCTTTTTGGCAAATGTTTTTGAGCATTGAGCATGATTCCATTTTCAGCACAAACAGAAGGATTGTTGATAGCTCAGTTGGTTATTAAATTCAGTAAATATTTATTAATTGTATACTGATTAGAAAGCATTATGTTATGATTACTTATTGGGGACTCAAGGAGCCAACAGTCTAGTAATGAATAGAAATTTGGTAAAAATTAGACCATAAAGCCAAATGTATTAATTGTTCCTAAGGAAGTAGGAGCATAGAAAAGAAAGTTGGTAGTAACATCTGAACAGGACCTTGAGAGATAGTTAAGCTAGTTTTCTATTTTAAAAATATCTTTTTTTGCTGTTTTTAATTGAAAATTATAATGCTTTTTATAAAGAAATTCGAGCATTGTAAAAATATACACCGTCAGTGACAAAAGTCTTCAGGAGTACCTAGGCCCCTGCCCCCTGCCAGTTAGCCGTTGTTAACAGTTTGGTATGTATTGTCCTTCGCATCTAATGCATGTAACAACATATTGTTGTTATATTTTAAAATTAGATCACATATCTATGATTTTGCAAATGTGTCAGACAACTGAGTTTCCAGTTTTCAATATTATAAACAATGTGATGCCTATGATTTCTTTTTTAACTTTCTATTTTTTGTGTTCTTATTTTGAGGCCTAAGATTTTGGTAGAAGAGAGCATCGATTTTGTTGAAAGCTTGAGTTTTAATGAGTTTTAGTGAATTTGTGCATTGTAGAAATATTTAACAGTAAAAATTACTGTAATCCCCTCTTATTAAATGTTGATGAATTAATTACACCTGACAGTAAATTGAAAATGTGTACCTCTGGATAGGATATGTCCTTTAGTTTGAGAGTACATTATTTTATGGTGAACATGGAGTTAGTGATGAAGGGCATGGCATTGGAGTAGGTAAGCACCAAAGGAAAGACCACTAACATTTTGTCTTACTGCCATATACCAACTTAGTTGTACTTTCTGTAGTTGTTTAAAAAGTACTCTTTATAATGGGAACTACTTATTCAAATGTTGCTTTTCTTTTTATTCTAGGTAACATTGTACAACACTGATCAGGATGGTAGTGATAGCCCACGCAGTAGCCTTAACAACAGTCTCTCAGACCAGAGTTTGGCATCTGTTAATTTGAACAGTGTTGGAAGTGTGCATAGTTATACACCAGTAAGTCTTGGTGAAGTTAACGTCTTTGTTGAGTACTTATTTAGTGCTTAAAACTAAACCAAATGTAATTGAAATGCAAATAAAAAGTGAAGATGTGTGTTTCTCACTAGGCAATTCATTAGCTTAGATAAGTACAGCAGATTTCTCCCTTGATAGTGTTTTAATTGAGTACTTATATTTTACTAAGTTAGATACAAATATATGGTTGTACTACGTTGTATATTTTGCTGTACTCCATCTGTCCCAAGTGAAAAGCAATTGGACTAGGGAAAATATTTGTGCTTTAGTCTAGCAAAGCTATATTTGATATTTCTCTTGGGCTCTGTTCTGTCTACTGGGGAGGACAGCTGCCAGATGATTTGAAAAGAAGTATCAGATAACCCAAGGGTCACGTTCTTACAATAGGTAACAAAATCAGCACAGCAGCAAGAATACTTACACACAGTTCCCTGTATAGCATAGCTTTGTTTTCCAGGCCAAAATTGAAAACACAAGACTGGTTAACAATTGGGTACCAGGTCATCCTAACCTTTGAGATTTGTAGAATCCCCTTCTCAGATCTACAGCTGGAAAACAAGGTGATACACACATCCTCTAAGCTCTTTTACCAAAAACTCCATACACAGCACTGTTCATTGGTATAAATTTGATCTCACCAGATCGTTCCCTGTTGCAGGATGAGTAAGTAGGTAAACACTTACACAGGACAAAAACATAAAGAGGGGAAACCTGAAATAAAATAACACAAGGGAAACAAAAACTCAGAGACAAAATTAAAATTCACATTGAACGTAGGAAAAAAGAAAGGTGACTCTGCAAAACTGTTATTAGTGCTCTAGGGGGAAAAAATAAAATATTCTCCCAGAATGCAGTAGAAACAGATAAAAGAAATAACAATTATGTGAAAGAAGACTGTTGATATGGAAAATTGAGAATTATAGGTGTCCTTGAAGAAGAAACTAGAATAGTTGGTCCAGAAGCAATTTTCAGAAGAAATAGAAATTAAAAGTGGTACTGAGTTCTAGGAAAAGTTAATGGGGAAAAAAATCTATTTAGACACACCATGACAAATTTTAAAGTTTTAGAAGTAATCATCCATATAAATACTCTGGCAGAAGAAATAAGATGCATTCAAAGAAACACAAATCATACTTCTCTTCCATAATACTAAATGCCAGAACTTAATGGAACACTTTATGCAGAGTTTAAATATTATACTCAACCAAATTTTTACTCATGTGAAGTCAAGAGATTCTTTGATATACAGAGCTTAGAAAGCATCCTACTCTTGTTTTCACGTGCCCTTCCTGAAAAAGTTACTTAGCTGATCAAGAAGTGAATTAAATTAAAGCACTCAGTTATGATATAAAAGGACTAGTTGGAGAATTGAAGCAAACTAAACAAAGATTTAATGATTTTAAGTGGCTTTTAAAGTAATTTGAATGTAGAAAATCTTGAGGGGCTGGCCCCGTGGCTGAGTGGTTAAGTTCATGCACTCCACTTCGGTGTCCCGGGTTTTGTTGGTTTGGATCCTGGGCATGGACGTGGTATCACTCATCAGGCCATGCTGAGGTGGCGTCCCACATGCCACAACCAGAGGCATTCACAACTAGAATATACAACTATGTACTGGGGGAGCTTTGGGGAGGAGGAGAAGAAGAAGGGAAAAAAAAAGATTGGCAACAGTTGTTAGCTCAGGTGCCAATCTTTAAAAAAAAAAAAAAAATCTTGAAACCAAATGAAATCAAAGAACACAGGGTCCAGTATCAGAAAATAAAATAAGAGGAAAAATTAAAGCATTTATAGAACTAGGTGACAGAAGTAAGAACAAACATGTCTGTTTTGCTAGTACACGTAAGAGGGTTAAACTCCACTATTAAAAGCTAGACATTGTAGACTGCTTTTTTTCATTTAACAACCAGATATCAAGCAGTTGTCAAGCACGCCTTAAGTAACAGTATGGCATCAGCTGCTGGTTGGGCTTGTCACATATCCACAGGTTGAGCCTATGAGGACACAGTGAGCCCAAATGCATTGACACAGTTTATTACTCATGCAGACAGTGTAAGTATGGTGTCAGTTCCCCACATCCCACAGGATGACACCAAACCAGAGGAGCCAGATGATAGACCTCACAAGTGTTAGGCCACTGTAGCGGGGGAACAAATTCATATTGCAGTTAAGCAGTTGTGTAACTTGCAGCTCTACCCTAAGAGAGTAAGTTAGAAAGTCCCCTGCTTCACTGGAAACAGAGGCAGATGACAAACTGTCTCTTGGCAGCTTCCTGCAGGATAGAGTGGTGGATGAGAAACTGCTCTATGGCTGCCTCCCACAAGACAGGAAGGAGGATGAGAACTTGCTGCTCATAAGACCACTCACGATGCCATGTTCCAAGATAAGCATGGAGTGTTCCACCAAGGGTTAGATCATCCTGCCATTGAGCCTTGCCTAGATGGCCTGTGTGGAGACATGTGAGGTCACCAGAGTGCCAGTGGTGGAGCCATTACCCTACACAAATCACATTTTTCATGTTATTGCAGACTAGACTCCTTGTGAGCATCATTTTGAATGACTGCATAAATTTACAGTGTGTTTGTATCTTAATTTTTCAAAACACTGAATGATAGTGTACCACCCCTTGATACAATCTTTAAGAGATACAGCAGACATTTTTTATTAGTTTTATTTCTAGTGGTGCTGTCTTCAAAGATAATTCTTACTTTTTAGGTGTTTATCGTGCTTTTTTTTTTCACCTGCATAGCTCAAGGCCCTGATCTATATGTTTTTCTCAGAATCTCCTTTGTCTTTTACCCATCATTTCTCATTTCCAGTTAGTTTCATTTTAAAAAAAATCCCCTCAAAGTGAAGAGTTAAGTGTATTGAAATTCCTTGCTGCTTTGGGCAGTGCCACGCAAGCTGACTCATAGTACTCAGAGTATTTGGGTTTAAATACTTAAAAATTAATTAAATAAGTGAATGAGAAATGTTGAATAGTTTCATAATATAGTGGAGTTTGAGATGAAATTACTTCTGTAGAAATCAAGATGAAGATTCTACACAAACTGGAAGGGTTGCAGGCCTAGCTTATCACTTAGTTGTATAATCTTGGGAAGATCATTTAACTTCTTTGAACTCTTTCCCCTCCTCTGTGAAATGTAGAGCTTGGATTAGATTTCTATGGTTCTTCAAGATCCAAATTAGCGATTTTGTGTCTGTCCTTTATTTTTGTGTCTTTTATGTGTACCCAACTCAACAGAGGATGGGAAAGCCAAAGACAGGGAAGTTATTTCCTTTGGATTCTAGAAACTATTCTAATATTTTCAGTCTTATATTTTATGTAACAAATCAATTCTGATATAGAGCTACTAATTTAGTAGTATTTTTCTTTTAATGTTAGGTGACAAACCATCCAGAACCAGTCTCTCAGTCATTAACTCCTCAACAGCAGCCACAGTACAACCTTCCAGAACGAGACAAACAACTACTTTTCTCAGAATATAATTTTGAAGATCTCAGTGCCTCATTTCGGAGCCTTTATAAGTCAGTTTTTGAGCAGTCACTTAGTCAACAAGGTGAGTTTTTTTTAATACTTTTTTTATAAAGTAAGTTTTTATTGAAAATTTTTAACAATTATTTTCATATTGCAGCTTATATTTCCTTAATCTTAGAACATTCATCATGATCGGGATTGAATGAATGCTCTTTGTGCATTTACTATTCTCTGTGTATATTTATATCATAGCACAAGAATGGCAGGTAAATTTCTTCTTGCCTGCCTACTTCACTTGATTGCTAGTGGCACCCTGAAACACTGTTGAAGAATTCTGACACTGCATCTATGCCATGTGTGAAATACTGCCAGGGTTAATTAATGATGTCTGGCATGTGAAGTATTTGATTGGTAAATGCTGCACCACAAGAATAAATGTGTCTTGCCTTTCTGTTCTGACTGATATTAGCAAAGAGATAGCTATTGGAATATGGTAGCACCAAATTTGCAGTTTCATGTATGGCACTTACAAGTGAACACATTGGTTGGTGGTAAGCTCTGGGTCATTGTTTTATACAACATACTTCAATTAGATTGTAACTCTAAAAGTGATTTTGGTTGAGATGCAGTATTAGATTTACCTCCCATTAGCTGCTGGTTTAATTTTAGTTAGAGTCATGTGATAGAATCTAGATGTCGCATTGTCTTCCCTCCATAGAACACTAGTTAGAAATTCTTGGGAACTGTACTACTGAAGCATTTCCTAGTTGCTTTGTTTGGCAGATTAATTATTTATACCCAAACTGAGAGAGTTTATCTGTTCATAGCAGTGAACATAATAGACAAAAATCCATGTCCTTATACAGTTTACATTTTAATACAATTATGTGTCACTTAACAACAAGGATACATTCTGAGAAATGCATTGTTAAGTGATTTTGTCATTGTGGGACCATCATAGAATTGTACTTACACCACTCTAGATGGTATAGCCTACTACAAACCTAGGCTCTATGGTACTAATCTTACGGGACCACTATCATATATGCAATCTGTCATTGACCAAAATACCATTATGTGGCACATGACTGTACTGTCAGATATTATGAAAGTTAATGTATATGCAAGTGTTACACATATTGATGAATCAATAGCTTGTACAGGAAGTTGGTTTTTCTGGTTTAAAGTAAGATTTTGTGTATTTTCTCAAAGTTTATCTTAAACTTTCTATCTATGAAAGTACAAAAAGAATAAAAGACTTTGCTAAGCAGATCCAATCTTGGTGATCATAATAGAAAAATACTGTCTTTGAAATAACAATGGTGACAATTTCTGAAGCCTACAATGCTGTGTCATCACACTAATAGCAAAAAGAGCATTGGTAGGAATTCTGGATTTTAGTCTAGGTTCTATCATTAAAGTCAACTGAGTTAACTTCAGCTCTCTAGACCTCAGCGACCCCATTTGTACAGTGAAGATTAGACTAGTTCGATGGCTTTCACATTACTCTCTTTGGAGTGTTTGGCTTTTGCGAAGGTCTCAGGGAGGAGAAGTGGGGGGATGAAGAGGGAGACCTGGCAGCTTTCCTTCCCTGGCTTCAACAAAAGCGGCTTTACATTTATCAGTTTTACCTATTGGGCTTCTGACAGATGTTTTGTTTTAATTTAAAAACAATTTGGGATTGAAAATGTTCATATAGATTGTATCTGGATTCCAATGCTGGGTTAAACTGCTAGGACTTTAGTAGAAATAGGTAATAAAAAAAGTGCTTTCTTTCATTTTACTGTAATAATCCTATAAAGTCCCTGTAAATGATAGTTTTCCGGGGCTAAGGCAAGAACTTTTATTAACTCTGCTACCTATAAAACCTTAACTTATTAGGTTTTAAGATTATCTTACAATGTATTTTAATGCAGTTTTACTATTAATGACAAGTATGATAATAACCATATTTTTGTTTAAAAAGTTTAACTTATTGACTGACACTAGGGTGTGGGATTTTATTATTTATTTAATAAAATTTTTTGCATTTGGTTCAGCAAAACATTGTATGAGCCATCCTTTGGGATATGAAAAGAGCCTGGTTATATAGAACCAAATGTTGCAATAAGATTTATTAAAATGAGTGTTTGCTTGCAAACTAAACAGACATTATTTTTAACATTAGACATTTCTGGCCTACTCATCATAGCAGCTAACATTTACTGAGCTCATCCTGCAGCCTGTATTTGCACCATGGCATTTAATCCTCACAATTCTATGAAGTAGGTACTATTATTTTACCCATTTTTAGTTGAGGTAATTGTGGCTTGGAGAGGTTAATAGTTTTCTGAAGTTACCAAGTGTGTAAATGGCAGTGCAGAGATTTTAATCCCTCCCTAATTTCTGGTGCTATAAAATATACAGTCTTAACCCCTCAACTGTATGTGTCACAAGAATGTTCCATAAGATTAATGAAAAAGAACAGTGGAGATAGCCGTTTTGTTTAGTCTTCAGAGTTCTAGCCACCTTGGACTTAAAATTTTTGGTGTAGTCAAAGAAAGGGATCAGAAATAACTGAGCTTTATTTCTCTCCCCCTCTTCTGTCAAAACCTTGGTCTTCAGGCCTAGAGAGACCCAACGCCTTTCCCACTTTTCCCTTAACATTTACTTATCTTTCAAGACTCAACTCAGATACTGCCTTTTCAAGGAAGACTTTCTCTATGTCTCCAGCCCCTGCCTAGCTGAACAGGCAGGAAGCAAAGTTCCTGTATCCCTTCCTTATACTTTTGCCTTAGTACTTGCATTGTTGGACATAATCTTCTTAAGTGACTGTTCCACTAGACCTTGAGCTGCTCGAGGGCAGGGAATGATGTTTCTTTACTCTTCTCAGTAACCCCTGAGCTCATGTGTTTGGTGGATGTTCCATCGACACTGGTTAAACTGAACCACAATTACCTCCTATTGCTCCTGTTGCTCTGTACAGAGCAAATTGCCTTTGCTCTGTAAATAATTTTGCAAGTGTTTGTCATAAAATATAACTGAAATCTGACCATAAATGATCTTGCTTTCTCTGTTTTTAGGTTTGATGAACATCCCTTCTGAATCTTCCCAGCAGTCCCACACTTCGTGTTCCTATCAGCACTCTCCTAGCAGTACAGTGAGCTCTCACCCACACAGCAACCAAAGCAGCCTGTCCAACAGTCATGGCGGTGGCCTCAATACCACGGGCAGTAATTCGTCAGTTGCGCAAGTCTCGCTGTCCCACCCCCAGATGCACACACAGCCATCTCCACATCCGCCCCATCGACCGCATGGTTTACCACAGCATCCGCAGCGTCCCCAGCACCCAGCACCGCACCCGCAGCAACACAGTCAGCTCCAGTCCCCTCACCCCCAGCATCCCTCTCCACATCAACACATACAGCACCATCCGAACCATCAGCATCAGACGTTAGCACATCAGGCACCCCCACCCCCACAACAGGTATCCTGTAATTCTGGTAAGTTTTTTGTTTCCTGACTTGTGTTTGACTAACTATGAATTAGAATCTGTCCTTTGTCATTTGTGGCTTAAATATATTTACTACCAAAACTCTTCTCATCTCACCTTTGTGTTTCCTTGCTGTCATCCTGCAGTTGTAACTCATTCAGTCCGTAGATTGACCTGGAGATTTTCTTGATTACAATTTATTGTGGTAACATAGGCAAACTCAGCAACCCTTTCAGGTTTTGGTTTTAACTCTTGTTTTGTCCTTTGGGAAAACTAGTGTTTCTGTGAGTATTTGAAAGAAGAATGGAATGCAGTCTGTCTGTAATTTATTGTGATTCAGTGTGGTAAAGAAGAAAGAGTATAGATTTATGTCAGAAAGACTGTATATGAATCCTCTTTATGACTCTTATGACCTTTGGTACATTACTTAACTTCTTTTAGTCTTATTTTCTCATCTATAAAAATGGAACTAAGGTACCCTGGTATACAGTGCTGTTAATAGAATCATACTGTGAATACAAATATGAAATGCCTAATCTGGTACCTTGCATTTAAGTATTCAGTGAATGTTCCCACTCTTCCTTTCTTTACTTATTCCTGCCAAGTTCTTCATTTTAGAATGATAGATTGCAAAGGAAGAAAGAGTTCTTCGTATCTTGATTTTTTAAAAAATCTGTTGCTCTTAAGATAGATCTGGATGGTTTCTGGTGAGATGCTTAACTGACATTGCTCACAGATCAGGCAGTCTTTGCATTGCAGAACTCCAAAGACATAGCCTACAAGGTGAATGGGACCCCTTGGAGTTGTGCAAAGTACAGGTGCTTCCCTCAGCTTGCTTGGCTGTCCACTTACCAGCCATGTTACTGATGAGATTTCTTTCTGGAGGGACAATTTATTATTATTATTATTATTATTTTTGCTTGAAGATTAGCCCTGAGCTAATATCTGTGCCGGTCTTCCTCTGTTTTGCATGTGGGTCACCGCCACAGCATGGCTGACAAGTGATGTAGGTCCATGCCCAGAATCTGAACCTGGGCTGCTGAAGTGGAGTGCGCTGAACTTAACCACCACACCACAGGGCCCGCCTCTGGAGGGACGATTTCTAAATGCTAGACAGTGCTAGTTCTTATTCACCAGTTAAAAGCTGACCATTGTTTCAGGCAGTTAAACTATTGTCAAGGCAGTGAGCTTTGGATAGTACATACTGTTTCATATTCTGACTTGTTATAAATCTTAAATTTTTTCAAAAGGTTTCCTTGTTTATAGAGTAGAAAAAATAATGTAAGTTTTTTTTGGAGAATTAAGATAAGGTACAAAAATGCATAGCGAGTACTTGGAATTTAATAAGCTCCTTTTAACAATTTGTTTTGTTTTCCCAGTTACTAATTCTAAGTAGGTTATAGAATAAAATTGAAAATTGGGCATAGTTCCTGTGTTGGAATGGAATGTCTCCTAAAACATCTTGGTATTATTTTTAGATCTATGCCTAGAGAAAAAGGTATATAATATAGCCTCCTTTTGTAACTCTTAGTGTGAGTCACTATTTACCTACCTTTTAACGTCATTATGTTCTTCAGAAATTTAAGCTTGTTCTCAATATGATTTTGAGGATTGACTAATGATTGTAGAGATTGGGTATCAGTAGAATTCTGTGACTCTCTGGTGTTACCTTTCTTTTTGTTAAGTCTAATGATTGCCACAGGAGAAAAAAGTACTATTACAGCTGAAAACAATCCATATGTGCCCTTAGTGACCTGTTATATCAATAGTAGCTTGCCAGAGAAGGAAAATAGACTTCCACCTTGGGGAGTTAGGAATAATCATTGTGACTGTGATAATAATTAATCTCTTTGAATTATAAATTTCTCATTTGTAAGATGGGAATAAATAGCTTGTCTTTAACAGGGAAGGAATAGAGGGAACTGACAGTTGTTTGTCCATTGTGTGCTAGGCGGTTGAGATGCATTATCTCATACTATCCTCCCAAATCAAGTATAAATTACTACATTTAATAAATAGGGAAAGTGTAACTCAAAGAAGTTAAGCAATTTTCACAAGATCATACTGCTAATAAGTGGTAGAACTGGAATTTGTATCTGGCCTGCCAGACTGCAAAGCCTATGACACCAGTTATTCTAAAAGGACTAAAATCAGCCAACATTTGCTGAGTGGATAGAGTTTGTTCAGCCACTCTCTCTACAGCGATTGCTTGACTTTTCTCTTGTTGCTGAGTCAGCATTTATTATAGGATCTGATCTGAATGTCTGAAAGACTTGAATGTTTGTGGCTCGCTTGGGGTATTAATTTAATTTTCCCCCCAACAAAGTTTTCCTTAAATTATGGTTTTCTTCAGGGCAGGGTCATGTTGTCTCTCATTCATTGTTTATTTAGAAAATCCAGAATTGGCAGAATTTTTAAAGTCGAGTAGCCAGTAGTTGATACAGAGTTATCTGTGATGCAGCAAAAACTCCTTTTCTTACCTTCATCCATCCAGGGGTGATCCTGAAAACAGAGTAATTTGGGCAGCAATCACTGAATGGAGGATTTTCTTCCTTTATTCTGCTCTTGCCCCATGCCTTTGAGTGATGACCACTTTGCTAACATACAGACTGTGGAGTCTTAACTCTCCTGATGATGTCTCATCAGAGGATACTATTCCTGACTAGTAATGCCCTGGATGGATTCATCAGCATTTCTTACAGAAGTCTCAGCCCTCTCCCTCACTACCTTGGCAGGAGGACTGTGTTAAGGCATTTCTCCTAAGGTTGCCTTGTAAGAAACATCTCCTCTTACTATACAATCTAATTTACCTCCCTTGATTCAGTGCTTTAAGTTACACTGTGCATTGCTTCTAAATGAGCACCTGCCTCTAAGTTATAAAGAACATATCTCTTAAGGTCATAACAAGACAGGAAAATGAACTTTATATAGGAAGAAAATACTGATTTACATGACCTGTCTTGCCTGGTGATTTATTTGTACTGTACAAATGTGAAGAGCCGTCATCACGTTTGACATTATAAGGTGATCTGGCAGTTTGCAAGCTGCCAGACTAGAGCTTAGAAGTCCCAGGTTCAAGTCTTAGAATGATCATAGTGACTTTGCTAAGTTGTGCTACCTGTGTGGGTTCAGTTTCTTTTATTTATAAAATGGAGAGAAATAATACCCTTCCCTGCCTGTCTCACAGAGCAGATTGCCCCAACACGTGATATAATGGGTGTGAATCTGTTTGTAAAACTGGATAGAAATCTGCCAAGGTCAGGAATGAGGCCAGCTCCTTGTCTTCCCTTACCATATACTTTAAACTTTCACTATCCAAGATTTATAGTATTGTCAATATTATTTTTATAGGTGTTTCAAATGATTGGTATGCGACACTTGATATGCTAAAAGAAAGCTGTCGAATTGCCAGCAGTGTTAATTGGTCAGATGTAGACCTTTCACAGTTCCAAGGTGAGTATTGGTTGACATATAACCAAGTATGCATGATCCTATCCTGTTTTCTCGGATAGATTATAAGATTCTTTTTAGTAGAAATAAACATCTCTTTATATAGTGTTTGTTTTACAGTTGGTAGTGTGCTTAAAAACAATACTTTGCGAAATTCATAATTAAGGCTTTTGGCCAGTTTGATGTAGCAGAGGGTCACAGACAAAAGTTCGGAAAGAAATTTGGCCACATTTTAAAAGAATCAGGCTTTGAATAATTTTAAAATGTCATTCTTTATTGCAAATCACTACCAGTGGAAATTTTGAGGGCTAAAAAATAAATGTCTTTTTGTTTTCCTTGCAATGTTTGCAGAACTATCCTAACTATATTTTTAATGCTTTCCTCATAGGTTTGATGGAGAGTATGAGACAGGCAGATCTCAAGAACTGGTCTTTAGATCAGGTTCAATTTGCTGATCTCTGTTCTTCTCTTAATCAGTTCTTTACACAAACTGGCCTTATCCACTCACAGAGTAATGTTCAGCAGAATGTCTGTCATGGTGCCATGCATCCAACAAAACCTTCCCAACACATTGGAACAGGTATGAATTTAATTATCTACTTGATTTTCTCTTCTTCTCATTCATATGAAATTCAGTAATTTAGTAACCATCCGAGGCAACTTGGTATGTTGTTAATGGAAGCAGTGACCTATTTACATCTTTTTATTTCTAAGAAATGAATGAAATCAAATAATTTATGTATTTAAGATATATCTTAGAAAAACTGAGATAAAGAAACCATATGTTTTTCTGTCATGATTTATATGATTTTATTGTTTACAGTTGACTTTCTTTTGTGATCTTCTACCTTTTAAGTTATCAAACAAGAATTAAATGTCTTAAAGATACTTACATATTTATAGGAACATAGTTATGAAGTTATATCAATTTAAATTTGTATAGACTTGCAAAGAAAATCAGCATTTCTTATTTTATGTATCTTCTAAGAATGTTAAACAAAACTAACGTTCAAAGTTTACTTAAAGAGTAGACAAAGGTGAAGAGTATCATTGATGTTTTACTCTGTACTCAAAATATTTTTCATCTCACTTTCTTTCCTCTTTACCCTTGTAGCCATTTCTTTTGCTCTAATTGGAGTGCCTACAGTTTTCTTCTCTCAAGTTTCCATTGTATAGGTGTCTAATATTCAAGTTCTTTCCTCATTTTAATTTCTTGCCACCTTTTATCTCCAAGTGATTTCTTTTCTGTAAGTTATCTTGGTTTTTTATCTTTGATGCTAAGAAACTGTTTTCTATCCTAAGTGGCTTCCTTCAACCATTATCCTAGCTTATTTCACATATTTGGGCTTCCTGTGTTCTCAAGATCCCCAGTCAGGCTGCAATCTTTATTTTCGTGGAATCTTTATTTCTGTCTTTTGATACAATAGAAATCTTTCATAATCTTTGCTTCTTTCATTTGGGTAGCTTACCTAACTTGAAACTCTCAGTGGCTGTTTGATTTTGGCAACTTGTTCATTCCATAAATTAGGTCCATACAAGGGCCTCATTCAGTGCCTAGCGTATAGGAGGTACTTGGTATTAGCCAGATTTATTGAGTGCCCTCTATGTACCAGACACTAAACTTTATTTTATTTTATTTTTTTTAAGATTTTATTTTTTTCTTCCTTTTTCTCCCCAAAGCCCCCCGGTACATAGTTGTATATTCTTCGTTGTGGGTCCTTCTAGTTGTGGCTTGTGGGATGCTGCCTCAGCGTGGTTTGATCAGCAGTGCCATGTCCGCACCCAGGATTCTAACCAACGAAACACTGGGCCGCCTGCAGCCGAGCGCACGAACTTAACCACTCGGCCAAGGGGCCAGCCCCCTAAACTTTATTTTTTGATAACTCTAGCTCCTTTCTCTCTCTCTGTCCTTTTGTCACTTCTGTTTTGGTGTCTTCCTGATACATACTCTTTAAAAAATTTTTTCTTTTTACTATGGTAAAATACACATAACATAAAATCCCAGTCATCCTGAAGTGTTTACAGTTCAGTGGTATTAAATACATTTCATAATGTTTTGCAGCCATCACCACCATCGATATCCATAGTTCTTTTCATCTTGTAAAGTAGATACTCTATACTCATTAAACAATATCCTCGTATCCCCCCTTTAGCCCCTGGCAGCCACCATTCTACTTTCTGTCTCTGATTTTTGACTACTCTAAGTACTTCATATAAGTGGAATCATACGGTATTTGTCTTTTTGTGACTGGCTTATTTCACTTAGCATAGTGTCTTCAAGGTTCATCCATGTTGTAGCATGTTAAAATTTCCTTCTTTTTTAAGGCTCAGTAATGCTCCATGGTATGTGTATACCACATTTAGCTTATCCATTTATCCATCTGTGAATTCTTTGGTGCTTCCATGTTTTAGCTATTGTGCATAATGTTGCTATGAACATGAAGTGTACAAAATATCTTTTCAAGACCCTGCTTTCAGTTCTTTCTGGTATATACCCAGAAGTGGAGTTGCTGGATTACATGAGCGACCGCCGTACTGTTTTTCACAGAGCCTGTACCATTTACATTCCTACACTCAGTGCACAAGCATTCCAGTTTCTCTACATCCTTGCTAACATTTGTGATTTTCTGGTTTTGGTTTTTTGTGTATTGTTTTTTATAGTAGCTTTCCTAGGGGATGTGAGGTCGTATCCCATTGTAGTTTTGATTTTCATTCCCTGGTGGTTAGTAATGTTGAGCATCTTATCTTTATTGGCCATTTTTATATCTTCTTTAGAGAAATGTCTCTTCATGTCCTTTACCCATTTTTTAATCAGATTTTTTGTTGTTGCTGAGTTTTAGTTGTTCTCTTTATTTCTGAATATTAACTCCTTATCAGATATATGATTTGCAAATATTTTCTCTCATTCTCTCTTTTTTTAACTGGGTTCATAGTGTGTTTTGATGCACAGATTTTTAAATTTTCGTGAAGTCCAAAATAATCTATTTCTTCTTTTGTTGCCTATGCCTTTGATATCATATCCAAGAAATCATTGCTAAATCCAATGTAATGAAGCGCTTGCCTCATGTTTTCTTCTAAGAGTTTTATAGTTTTAGGTCTTACATTTAAGTCTTTGACCTATTCTGTGTTAATTTGTGTATGTGGTTGTTAGATAAGGGTCCAATTTCATTCTTTCGCATGTGCATATCCGATTTTCCCAGCACCATTTGTTGAAAAGACTGTCCTTTCCCCATTGAAGTCTTGACATCCTTGTCAAAAGTCATTTAACTATGTATGTGAGAGTTTATTTCTGAGTTCATTATTCTGTTTCATTGGTCTTTGTGTGTTTTTATGCTGGTATCACAGTTTCAACTACTATAACTTTGTAGTAAGTTTTGAAATCAGAAAGTGTGAGTCCTCCAGCTTTGTTGTTCTTTTTCAAGATAGTTTTGGCTATTGAAGGTCCCCTGAGATTCTGTATGAATTTTAGGATGTGATTTTCTATTTCTGCAAAAAAAAAAAAAAAAGTCATTGGGATTTTTGATATGGATTACATTTAACCTGTAGATCGCTTTGGGTAGTATTGACATTTTAACAATATTGTTTTCCAGTCCATGAACATGAGATGTGTTTGCATTTATTTATCTTCTTTAATGTCTTTCAGCAGTGTTTTATAGTTTTCATTGTATGTATCTTTCACCTCTGCAATTAATTCCTGAGTATTTTATTCTTTTTGATGGAATTGTTTTTGTAATTTCCTTTTCAGATTATTCATTGTTTGTGTATAGGAATGCAGCTGCTTTTTATGTGTTGACTTTGTGTCCTGCTTTTTTGCTGAATTCATTCATTCTAACAGGTTTTTTTGTGGAATCCTTAGGGTTTCTACATATAAGATCATATCTTATATGTGAACAGAGATAAATTTGTTTATTCCTCTCCAATTTAGTTGTCTTTTATTTCTCTTTTTTTGTCTAATTACTTTAGCTGGAAGTTCCAGTACTGTGTTGAATAAAAATGGTGAAAGTGGACATCCTTGCCTTGTTCCTGATCTTAGAGGAAAAGCTCTCAGTCTTTGACCATTGAGTGTGATGTTTGCTGTGGTATTTGTTGAGTATTTTAATCACGAAAAGATGTTGACTTTTGTCAGATATGTTTTCTGCATCATTTTGAGATGATCATGTGGGGTTTTTTCCTTAATTCTATTAATGTGGTGTATTACATTGATAAATTTTTTTATGTTGAACCATCCTTATATTCCAGGAATAAATCTCATGTGATCATGATGTATAATCCTTCTAATACGGTATTGAATTCATTTTGGTAGTATTTTCTTGAGGATTTTTGCATCAGTGTTCATAAGGGATATTGGTCTGTAGTTTTCTATTCTTGTGGTATCTTTGTCTGGCTTTGGTATCAGGGTAATTCTGGTCTCATAGGATGAGTTACGAAGTATTTCCTCTCTTTCAATTTTCTAGAAAAGTTTGAGAAGGTTTGGTGTTAGTTTTTCTTTAAACGTTCAGTAGAATTCACCAGTGAAGCCGTCAGGTCCAGGGCTTTTCTTTGTCGGGAGATATTTGATTACTGATTTAATCACCTAACTAGTTATAGGTCTAGTCAGATTTTCTGTTTCTTTGTGATGTATTTTTGGTAGGTTTTGTATGTTTAGGTGTTTGTCCATTTCATCTAGGTTGCCCAGTTCGTTGATATACAGTTGTTCATATTACTCCCTTAGAATCCTTTTCTCTGCAGAACTGGTAGTAATGTCCTCATGTTCATTTATGATTTTAGTAATTTGAGTCTTCTCTCTTCTTTTTTCCTTTTCCATTTAGTTAAAGATTTGTCAACTTTGTTGATCTTTTACAAGAATCGATTTTAGTTTCATTGATTTTTCTTTAATGTTTTTCTATTCTTGTTCATTTAACTCTTCTCTAATCTTTATTATTTCCTTCTTTTAGCTTTGTGTTTAGTTTGTTCTTTTTGTAGGTCTCTAAGTTACAAAGTTAGGTTGTTTATTTGAGCTTTTTCTTGTTTTTTAATATCAGTGTTTATAGTTAGAAATTTCACCTCAACACTGCTTTTACTGTTTTCCATAAGTTTTGGTAAATTTCCCCTCAACACTGCTTTTACTGTTTTCCATAAGTTTCATTTGTAACTAAACATTTTCTAATTTTCCTTTTGATTTTGTCTTTGATCCGTTGGTTTTTTAAGAGTATGTTGTTTAATTTCCACAAATTTGAGACTTTTCCAATTTTATTTCTGTTATTGATTTCTAACTTCATCCTGTTGTCGTCAGAGAAGAGACTTTGTATGATGCATATTTAAAATCTGTTGAGACTTAATTTGTAGCCTAACGTATGGTCTATCCTGGAAAAGTGCCATGTGCACTTGAGAAGAATGTGTATGCTGTTGTTGGGTAGAATGTTCTGTATATGTCTCTTAGATCTAGTTTGTTCTGGTTTATTGTGTTATATGTTTAGAGTCTAGTTTGTTTATTGTGTTATGTCTCCTATTTCTTTACTTATTTTCTGTATGGTTGTTCTATTCTTTATTGAGAGTGGTGTATTCAAGCCTCTAACTATATATAGAGCTGTTTATTTCCTC